ATTTATATTTATATTTATATATATAACATTTAAGTTAAACTGAATTTGTAATACAAGTTCTCAGCTTAAGCATCTTCACAATCTGCCCCGTTGTGTTCATTAACAATTCCTCAATCAGTCAATCGTTAATTTGCCAGATTTACGAATTTAATTTGTATTCGCTTAGCAAAATTCTAATCTGGGATATCAAGTAACAATTGATTGAGCTCGATTAAAATGAATTATTTTGTCATTTATTTGGCGAGAAATTCCACAATTAAATCGATATCTAATAAATTCCGACTCCAGCATACAGATTTGTGCCACTAGCTGCACAGGCCTAAAGCAATTCATTGTTTGGCTTTCAGCGCTGGTGGGCGTGGCAGCTGTGCGTGGGTCCTTGAAAAAAATATGTAAGCCATGCGAGCGGAATGCCAGCGGCTAAAAAAGTTAACAGTTGACATAGTTTAGAGAGTTGCCCGACCAGACGAGCTAACGGGCGGGTGGGTGTAAGAGTATAGGAGAGGAGAGTGGTGGCAGAAGGCGTGGCTGATGGGCTGGGTGGGTCAGCAGGTTCAACAGCCAAGCTGGCAAGAGCTCTAGCCTACGTTTGAATGTGGATTGAATGAATGTCTTAATAGTGTGCCTCTTGCACATTGTTGTTGTAATACCCTGCAGTGAATGTGGGAAGTGGGTATATTGGTGCGGAATGTACGAGTGCAGCAGGCAACTGCAAAGCATATAAGACTCTGGCAAGCGAGTGAAAACAATATGAAATTGGTGGAATGGGTTGCTATATTATACAAAATATCGATAAATTCTGCAATTTATCGATAGACACCTAAATACACCTAGAAATATACTTTACTTTAAGAGTTACGCTTGTCATACATCATCTGCTTTAGTATACTCAACTTCCACCTAGGGTATGTATTAGTCGAGCACATGCCGCTTAGGCTACACCCACTCGTTGCTGTGACAGTTCGTAGCAGGAAAATTGGTGCCAAACTAAATGAATTTAATTGCCGCTGGATATGAAAGTAATTATTTTGCAGTTGCATAGAGACAGCCCAGGCGGGGCGCTTATCTCAGCTCTATCTCTCCATCTTAGTCGCACGCTAGCAATCGCTCTCCCTCTCTGCCTTTCTGTTTGCCGCTGTGTGTGTTGCTATCGATGCACTTGCACTTAACAGCAAACAGGCGTAGGCAAGCAAATCGGCACACATACGCAACGACAGGGCACACACACACGCACACACACACACACACACACAAACAGACTCAGTTACTTTCACTGCTGGGTAAAAATTGCTCGCAGATATTTTGAGTTGTTCTTTAATTTATTCTCTTTTCAGTCGCCTAGCCCAGCGCGTTGTCCTTGCTGTTGTTCGAATGCGCCGCCAACGGCAGCTCCTACAAAAGCCAACCATGTGTGTAGGCGAATGCGGCTGTGTGTGCGTAGGCGTATGTATGTGTGTGTGTGTGGAAGTGACAGTGTTGTGTCACTTGTTTACATGGCTGGCCTTGTTTTGTTGCCTAGATCAGGCCTTTGTATACCCTGTAAACGTTGAGAGCTGAGTATTGAGAGCTAGCATTAGGGCATGTGAGATACAGCTAGCCATGTCTACAGGAATCTTTTGACACTGTCTATTGCTACAGCTTATACACACTATATTCTTTCATTATAAACACAAAGCTTTTAAAGAGAGTTTTTGATTGTTGTTTGATACAAAGATTTATAGACTTGACCTTTTCGTATTTATGAAATATTCTTTTCATAGAACTTGTGCGTTCACTTTCTCCAACTTTCGATGTGCAGAAGTAAATAATAAATATCAAAAGTATATCTTATAAATGAAAGTTAAAGAACAATACCTATAAAGCTGTATATAAAAAATGGTTTATTGTCGTTCTCTAGAATTCTTAAATTCTTTTCGAATGCAAGTTCACTTTTCTTATAAAGCATAGAAAGCTTTTCCTTTCGCTGCAGAAAGTTAAACTTTTGGTGACAACAACAAATACAGGGTATTTGGTAGTGGTGCTTTCTCTTATTTGTTTCCCCTGCATTGTTAGTTTACGGACCTTGTAACACTTTCGATCGTTCACTCAACTGAGGAGAAACGCGAAAATTAGCATTCGATTTTTTTTCAGAATGCAGTAGCATTCTAGCAAGTCCAATTTGAATTCCAATTGGAATAATTTAGATATCGTTGGAGCAACTAGAGTTACGCCCACTGCTCTATTTGAGTTTACACCTATCGAATTCTAAAAACGCCTTTTCAGATAGATATCTTAACATAGATTATATTTTATATTTACTTACTCAACTTAATACAAATTGGAATTCGAATTAAAATCCAATTCGAGCTATCAAAAAAGCAAAATTCAAACACATTGTTTATTTCTTTCTATATTTTGCAATATAAATTCGTTTGTTTTTTATTTCATTAAATATTCCTTATTTGATTTTAAAGAACCATCGCACCCTTTACGGGCACCTTTGCACTTTCGGATCACAAGGGAATTGGCTAAGCCACCTGCCAAACTGTTGATACCACCTCCACAGCTCCAAGGGGTAGTCGCTAGTGTAATTGGGGGGACCTGGTTGAGGACCGATAGGGGGGCCTGGCTTGGGAACGACATGATGGTTAGAGTAATGATCTTTATCCTTGTCATCCTTGACCACTACAATGCAATTAACAACAGGGCGACCAGCTTTGTCGTCCTTATCCTTATCGTTGTCGTCATCATCATCATGAACATTGTCATGATCATGTCCATGTCCACCCTCATACTCGAACTTGTCATCATACTTCTCATCGTTAGAGCCGCCTCCGTTCCAGGTGATATGACGTCCATACTTCGAATCCCTATCCTGTGGCGAGACAACGCACAGCGGATAGCGCTTGGCAGCAGAGCTGGGCTTTTTGCTTTCGAAGGAAAGCGATTGAGCGAAGTTGGCCAAGCCGCTGAGCGGGCTGCGCAGCAGGCGTGACTCTGACACCTCCGACCCGCCTCTGGTTAGGCGGAGCAAATCGTTGTACTCCTGCTGAGTAACCTCGTGAATGCGCAGCAGCTGCGTACGAGCTGCAAAGGTAACAAGTCAAACTCTCACTCACATCCTGCGATTGGGATCATTAAAGGACTCACCAGCATCGGCTGCGACTGCGCATAGCGCCAGGAGCGCAACAAGTGGCAAAATCTTCATCTCTGGCCTTTCGAGCGTTCTGTTCGAATAACTAGCTATGGCTAGAGGCAACATCTTTATAAAGACTCGTATGGCATTATCATTTAAATTGCAGCGCCCCATAAAAACCAAAACATTAATATGAACAATCTGTTTGTTAGTTTTCTTTTTCTTTCTTTTATACATAATTTACGCGGCGACCCAGTTCTGTGAGGAATTCGTTAGGCCAAGCCTTAACAGACAATGCGAAGTCGACCAAAAAAAATGCCACGATTTGGTTTTAATGATCGCTGTTCGCATTTATAAGATAACTGTTTATTTATTAACGTGTCTCGGCGGCTGTTGGGAGCAGCAGAATGATATTTGAAAATTTGGCAAGAACGGCGACGAGTTGATTAAAGTGAAAATGGATAATTGTACATATAAGGCGAAGCTAATGGCTATTTAGTAATCAGATATTGAGAGCAGCTTGATTAGCGTTGTTTATCTAAGTCTAGAAAAGATTCTAGTTGGGCACATGTAAATGGAAATGAATATATAAAGCTTTACAAATAAGGCTTTATGTTCTTTTTTACATTCCTCCATCAATTTTGGATTTGATATCAAATGATATAAAATTTTAAAACTAATTTAAATAGAATTTTTATTATTGGGTAAATTAATTAAATTACCGCTGCAGTAAACTTGTTGCTGCAAGAAAATTAAACTTAGTTTCGCATATTCAAATATGAATGACTTTAAAATAGCCAAAATTACCTGAATTTGGGACTGGAATGAATTTAACTGTCAGGTCTGGATTTCAAGCTAATTTTCCTTAGGCAGAAACTAAACACAATTTACTCTCTAGATGATCTGTGAATTATGTTTATTATTTATCACCGATTCTGAAGGATCCTTAGGAGATTTTCAGCAATTGTTGATCATAGTTAGTTTTATTGCTGAGCTGACAATTATTTTCAGCGCATGGAATTTAGAGCTAGAGTATTGCCTACTTCAGAAATAGTTTACTATTAATTTGTAACTCCAGCAAAGATCAAGATTACGTTCAGACATGGGCCAAGTGTTTATATGAATTCACAGATGAATTCATGGAAAACCTCTTAAGCAACTTTTCATTCTTTTCAAAAATTTACAATTGTCTATGGCAAGTCTTAATTCTAGATATCTAATATCTCAATATCTAAATAATTTTCGAACAATTTTAATCTTTTGATTGGCTGTCATTAATTTACCTCTAAAATTCAAACAATATTCATATATTCATTTAGGTATATTTTATGTGATCTTTATTCATAATAGTCTTCGTCTTCTGAGTCCACATGCAAATCATGGCCATACTCTTCGTCTTCATTGTCCTCATCAATGTCGTCTTCCTCTTTATCTTGTTGCTCGTAATAGGCAAGGGGATTGTAGTACGGGCTCTGTCCGTAATACTGCGGCGAATATGGATAGGGCTGTTGGCCAAAAGCTGATTGAGGGCTAAAAGGCAGTTGTTGGCTGTAGGCTGCATAGGGATTGTACTGGCCGTAGCTAGGGAAGGGATAAGCACCGCCATAGGCACTGCCATATGGTGCCGCTGGCACTGGTGGCTGTGGTGGTGGAAGTTGTGGCACTGGTGGCTGTGGTGGTGGAAGTTGTGGCAGTGGTGGTGCAGGTGGTCCGTAGGGTGAGCCATATTGACGAGGAGCAGCCACAGCATATACAGATTTGAGAGATGGGCGTGCCCTTTTCTTGTTCTTGTTCTTGTTCTTGTTCTTGGATGCGGATTTGGATTTGGCTTTGTTACGCTTCCTAGTTACCTTTGGCGCAATTGTAGTTGTCGTTGCCCTGACCCGTTCCAGCTGCTGCTCAGCCTCGGGTGCAAAGTTCAGCTCAGCTGGCTGCTGCTGCTGCTCTTCGCTTTGTTCGTTATACCAATAGGGCGCAAAGTCGGGATTGCTAGAGCTGAGGGACTGCAATGCTGGATCCCGCTTAAGCACCACAATGCAATTGATGACCGACTCCTCGCCGTTTGCCGATTTGCCCTCTACGCTAAGCGACTCAGCATCGTATACATTACGCCTCATCACACACAGAGGCTGCCCATCAATATCGATCTTTGGCTGATCCGTGCGAGTCGGGGTGAAGCCGACGATGCGCAGCAGCGACTGCCAGCCCGAGCCGAGCGTGTTGCGCACCGAAGCGAATCCGGCGGTTGTCAGACGCCCCTCGGATATAAGATTATTGCCATCGGTAATCTGCAGCAAGCGTTCATACTGCTCCTCGCTGATGGGATAGACGCGCACCGCCTGCTCCTCCTTCTCAGTCGATGGTGCTGCAAATGTGAGTCGTTCTGCAATTTGATTCCACTGAATCTCGCTTGGTTTGTTTACGTACCCGCCTCGCAGCAAGTCAATACCAAACATAGAAAGCCGAAACGACGAAGCCACGCTGAATTCATTGTCTGTCGTCCAATCAGTGAAACTGAGACTCGCAGTGCCAGACGATAGTCTTATTTATACATTCGTCTAGTCTAAAACAAACGGTAAATATCTGCCAAATACTGCAATTATTTTGATTTCTATGGAATATGGAATGGAATAGCTCGAAAAATTCTACCCTCAAATCCATTTCAATAAATTATGGCACACATTCGTAGCGAAGTCGAGTCAATGAACGCATTTAAATGCGCGTTGGCTGGAACTGGTTCTTGAACTATGTGTAAGCCAACGAGATCAGCTTAGTTAAGCTTGCTTCGATCGTGTTTATCATTTTTGGGCGTTAGTCAAGTTTGGTCTGTTTTTGGTTCATCTGAAGAAAATTTGTAATCGCTCGACATCTTGTTAAGCGATTTCTATAATTAACTGTATTCTGTTAGTTATGCGCGTGCTTATGCGATTTTTATACCCCTTAATATGGCTGTTGGCATGATTTGGTATATATTGAAAACTTGTTATAAACTAATAGAAACTAAATACATCATTTAACTATATCATTAGCATGGGAACAAACGAAATAGTCTTCAGAAAATTTGCAAAAATCCGCTTAAAGTTATTGTTTTCAAAGATCATTGAAAGCAGCTGCTATTAAAACGGTATTTACCCATCTCTTCTAGTTGAACTGTTAAAAAAAAAAAAAAAATTAAAAAAAAATTAGTTTTTTACCGCTTTATTTAACTTACCATATTCCGGGGTATTCGAACTATAACACCAGAGACTAAAGTACTTGTCAAATTTAGAGTTCGCGTCAACCGGGATGATATTATCGGGTAAATGAGGATCATTCATCAATTGCGCAGGGTTTCAAATAGTTTTCGGCTATCGAGAACTACGCTCTCTATGTACATATGGATCAATGTTTCATTGAATATTATCGTAGAACTATTTCTTTTCTCTAATTTATCTCTATGATTAGGCACTCTATCACTGTCTTTTTTTCTCTCTTCTTTTCGGTCCTTATCATCCAATCACTAGACTTCATTGATTGCTTTATATGAGCATTCGTAGTTATTCCATGTTGTTTTAATCTGAATTTATCTCTCTATAGTTCCTCTCCATTCAGACCTCTGTTCTACTCCCAAAGATTTAAATATTTGGTTATTTATCATAATTTGCGTCATTTAAGGTATTTCAACTGATATATTAGGAGACCATTCATTATAATTTAATCCGATTAGGAGAAGAATCTACAATGATGTTTCCAACATCAAATTTAGCGCTTTACATAATGATTTCCAATTTCAGTATCCAAATAAAAGACGTTTTGAATTTTTTTTATTAATTTTTCTAACCCATAATTAATTTTAATCTTAATTCGTTTAAATCTCTTGCAGTGTATATGTGTTTATGAGTGTGATTGTGAGTGTGTATTTGTGTTCACATACATATATATATATATCTATGTATATATATATTTATATTCTCTAGCATGAAGGCCAGCACCATGTCAAAGACACCAAGAGCTGCAGGCCCACACACAAGGAGGTGGTGCAAAGTGCGATGTGAATATGTAAGCTGCAGTGTTTCCACTGAACAATCAACATGGCTAAAATGTTAAGAGACATACAGAAGTTGATATACTCTAACCGAAAGTCACTTAAATATGCATAGGTTATATAATGCATTCGACCCACACACAAAGTGAAAGTCGTTTCCTATTATTTCTTTTATCAAATAAGGCAGCATCCACAACCCGGAATCGAATGGAATATGTGGCTCTGTCCAGCTGTGATAAAGGCTTGGCATATCTCGCATACCCGCATGGTAAGTGTATTGCACACACACACACACACACACACACACACACACACACACACACACNTATATTTATATTATATATCATATAAATACTTAGTTATAATGTCGTCGGTTGACTTCGAATGAACTCTAAAGTGTTTTGCTCTTATAGTTAACACACATCAAGTGACACATTTGCTTGTGCATGTGTGCATGTGTGTGTGTGTGTGTGCATCGCTTATAGACCTGTATGTGTTATGTATACATATACATATATGTATGTAGCGAGTCCAGTAAGCTCTTTCAGTGAGATCGTGACAAACCGAGCCAATTTCGTCTATTTAGAATAAGAACCAACTTGTATTCAGAAAAAAAATTTTCTTCTAATGGTCTGCCACAGTTTTTAGAATGGCAAAAGTTTTGCAGCTGCATCTCTCTTATCTGCATTTACAGCTGCAGCTTGGAGAACTTTGATTTCATACTCAAATTACCTTTTTTGTCTCAACTTGTGAGCGAGCATTGCGCAGTCGTCAGCAGCCAACTGCAAAGTTTTTATTTTCTTTGCTTTTTTATAGCTTAATCTAAATTCACACATTTACACACTCACACACACACACACATACGCATACACACGCAGTTATGCAGTTTTGTATTTGTTTATGAAATTTATCTAAACTTTTTTTTCTTCTATTTGTTGCTGTCGTTGCTGCTTTGCATTTATCTGTTGCATTTTCTATTTGCATTTTGCATCTGTTTTTTCTCATTTCGTTTTTCCTCTTTTTTTTTTTCTTTTATTCAATAGGTGTTTTATCATAATTGTTATTGGTTTCTTTTGTATTGTTATTTATTTCAATTTATATATATTATGTCTGTATATATGTATTTATTTATATGTATGTCTGCTGCGTGTGGTGTACAAATTAAACAGTTTACAAACATTTAAATTGCATTTTGCATTTAGGTTTTTATTTTATTTAAGAGTTAATTAAAACTACAGTCACTACTAATGAATTTATTTACAGTGCGTTTTTTTATTATTAATTGTTTTTTTGTTTTTGCTTTTTGCATTTCGATTTCCGTTTAAGCACATTATTAATTTGCATTTGTCATATGCTCTTATGTCAGCCAATACTAATTAGTTAGCACGTATATTTAAATTTATATATACTTTTATATATATATTCGCATATATATTTTTTAATTATCTTTTATTTTTTTATTTGTATGAATTTGTCTGTACATGCTTATAAAACTTTATTAGCTTAAACGATTTGTGACATTTTATACCCTGAAAACTATTGAAAGTGGGAGTGGAAGTGGTTTCATGATTACCTTTCCGTAGCAGGCTGAAGAATGCTTGGCTGGCACCATTAAGTATAAACGTTGGTAGAACAAAAATGTGGATACAAGATTTTATAGCCGCATATAAGCATAGGTCAAATCCATTCCTTTCAAAAAGTCGCTCAGATTCCCATACAAAATTATTACATTATATTTCCATGTATTAAAAAACATAGTAAAGGAATTTGTCTTTCTGCTCCCGGAAAAGTTAGAAAGTTGACTAGAGGATCTTCTCTAAGATGTTTCATCGAAGATTCATTCTCATTTTTTTGCTCCGTTGTTGTCATACTTTTGATATACATATGTCTATAATTTTTGTTGGTTATAGAATTATCAGATCATCATTACAAACAATATTTTCTGCGTGCAGTTTGAAAGCAAGGTAAAGTTCTGCTCAGGGTTCAGGGTAACTCTCAGCTACATCTCTCTACTCCTTTTCGCAAACTACGATGTTTTCGCTTTCTTGTAGCTGTTAATTGTTCCGCATATGAAATTTCCTTGCAAAATACATCCTTAAATATAGAAACTGAAACATTTCAAATTTATTTAAACAACTTCTTTTACAAATTCTTCTATACAGGGGCATCTAAATTTCGGACTACCGAACGCTTCTTTCTGCTCCCAATTTCTCCATAAGAAATTACAAAACAAAACAGTTATATATATTTATGGCTCTATATATATCTAAATGGCATTTATTTACAGCAAATATTCAAGTATTATGCTTAATACTTACAATAGAGTACACAGTGAGCTACAGTAGTATGCATACGGTGAGAGGGCTAGAAAAACGACTTAGAGAGGTTGAAAGCTGCACAATTTTGATTTGATTTAAGTTGATTCGAGTGACATGCTGAGTGGATTGGAGATCAGTTTGTATTGCATATGCATAGCCTATTTAGTCTTATTTCATAATGACAAGATTTCTGTTTTCCCTTTAACGTGTTGCTATTGAGGTGTGTGTGGGTGTGTGAGAATGAAGCAAATGCAGCAGAAGATCACAAAAATATATAGAATTTGTTTGCCTGATGGAACAGTTGTTTGAATAAGTTGTGAACTACAAATATTTAGCCGGAATCAGCTTGAATAAATTGTGAATTAGGAAGCTAAAAGCACACAGCAGATGATTCAATATACATTGATTGCTTCATTTATGAATTGGAGAACTGCTAAGTTATAAAGAATGTTTGAACTAGTTGAGAATTAGAAAGCATTTCTTCAAAGAGCTATTTGCATTAGTTTTAAAAGAAGTTTAAGGAGAAATTAGCTTGAATAGTCTATAATTTAGCATGCTCTGACAGAACCGAAGCTGAATGTGAATTACAATACAAAAATATAAAAAGCTTAGCTGCAAAACTCTTCACTTTTCCTATGCTTGTGATCAACTGCACATTTGCTTAACTACATTTCGCTTAAATCATAATTAAATATTATTTCTGTATATATTTATATCATATTATATATATGYTCATGCACTGTTTATTTGACTTTTCATATACAGATCATTTCATATATATTTTTAATTTGTCTTCTGCTTGGCTTAACTTACCCAAAAGTCGAGAGCTTAGAGCTAAAGATGTTTTTATTTTCTTATTGGTTTTGTTTTGTTTGGTTTGGTTTGGTTTGGTTTGTTGTTTATTCACTAAGTGCATTTTGTCTTAGATACGAATTCAATGCTTGCTTTAATTTAACTAAATGTCATTATTAACTCAATTAACATGATCATCATCATCCACATCATCACCTGGAACTCAGTGGGCCAGAAGCGAACTGTCATTCCTTCATCTCAGTCCACTCTGCTGGGAGCTGCTGCTGGTGCTGCGGCGGCGGGGGCGGGCTTTCAATGTGGCTGTTGCTGTTACGGCTGTTACGGCTGCAGCAGCAACTGTTGCCGCTGTTGTTGCTGTTGCTGTTGTTGTTGTTGCTGTTGCTGTCGCTGCCTGTGACAATTCTTTGGTTGGCAGCAAGAAAAGCGCAGCCATTGTCTCAGCAGGCGCTGCACACACATACCAATGCTGCAGGCAGCAGGAGAAAATGCTGAGCAGCATGCAACAAATGCCGCAGTAGAAGCTGTTGCTGTTGCTGCTTGAATTGTGCTGCATGGCCGCCGGGTGTTCGCCTGCAAGTAGAAATGGAAAAGCAAATAGAGGAAGCGTAAGAAAAACTGTGCAAATTAGTTAAGAAAACAGTTGTAAATATACCCTGGAGCGCATTCTGTGTGAGTAAGCTGGGGTGTATAGGTTTTAGTAAGATACATTTAACAGGCAGCCAAAGGCGTGACTGAGCCCATAAAATATATTTAATAAAAATTTCTTTACTTAAAAATTTTAGAATAAACGTTTATTTATTTCTTCTCTTCTTTGTTTTAGTCTTCTAGTTTGAAATTTTCTTAAAAGCAAGAATACTTATTTCTCAGTCACACAACGTAAACCTTAAGGTATTAGCCAGTCCTGCATATCCAACTAGAGCAACATCTTCTACTTGTGCTTGTGCTTTTTCAATTCATTAGCTAATTGTTAAAGCAGTCAAAAGTAAGTCAAGCGCATGCGTAAAGGGACGCCATTCAGCTAAGGTGCAGCTGCTTTTGTTGTTGTTGTTGTTGTTGCTGTTCTTAGCTGTAGTTGCTGCTGTTAGCTGCTGCTTCCGATTGCCTTTGTTTGGATGCCAGGTTCAATCGCCTGTGGCGAAATCTGTGCTTCAGACTCATCTTGCACATCAACATCATCAGCATCATCAGCAGGAGCAGGAGCAGCAGTAGCAGCAGCAGCAGCAGCAGCATCAACATCAACGAAAGTTGCACCTGAAAATCTGGGCCAGATAATATCGAAGCTTTCCTTTGCATGTGCGCATTTCCTGTTTGCCAAACAAGGCAAACACTAAAGCAGCTACAACACACAACAGCAGCAGCAACAACAACAACTTTTTATATACAGCACTTGAGCACACAAGTGCTGCATCTGAAGTTTTTGTTGTGGCTGCCTTTTCATAGGGTAGCCCGACTTGATTATTGGCATTTCTAGCTAGCAAGCAAATAATTTCCGCACTTCTTTTCAGGCTAAGCTAACGCATATACAACGCAAACATGGCAAAAGTTGTGTGCTCTAACGACAGCTTGAATACCCTGTAAAAGCTGAGTTCTTAAGTTGAGAATTTGGAATGTGAGTTTGAGATAATCTCAAATCTAAATAATATGTTTTCTATGGAAAGCGAAGAGCTTTTGAAGTACTATTGTATAGGTATTATTTCTGATGTATAGTATAAAGAAGAATATAGAAAGAAAGATACATAGATAGTAAACTTTTGGAATATTCAATAAATTAAGGAAGAGTTTAATTAAGAGCAAAGTATCAAAAATATCTACTGATAAAGATTTGTCTCGTATTGCTTAGAATTAGAAAAAACTTTAGAAAAATTTGTGCAATGTAATAGAGATTTTGTATATTAAGATACTTAATAATCTAGCGTCAATGAATCCAACTGACTATAAAGTATATACTCCGTTTGATCTGATTGAGTGCTTATTCCTTTTGAAGTTTTTTTCAAGCAGTGCAACAAAAAAGTTGCATTTACTTAGCAAAGAGTGACGAAAAAGCACACAGTTTTTATTGCTTGCCATGCAGAGTATGGAAAGACAAACACTGAGCAGTGTATGCTAGCCTCCAGCTACGCCCACACACACGCACACACACATGTAGAGAGAGTGCACTTGGCATTCAGTGCAGTTGAAATGCTCAAATTGCAGTGCGCGCTGCTAACAGGCAACTTCCTGTCATAAACATGCAAAACTGTCAGGCACACACAGCTAACACGCACACACACACACACACACACAAACTCACAGACAGTACACATATACAACAAATACACACACATATATACTCACCAATAATTACGTGCACGTAGACGCTGGAGGTTTTTGCGACGGTTGGCACACAGGTGTAGTTGCCGGTGTCGCCGGGCATGGCTCGCTTGATTTTTAATCTGAGAAGCGCCGAGGGAGGCGCAAAGGGAAGAGAAGAGAAGAGAAGTAGAGTAAAGTTAGTTGAAAGTGAATGGCAATGCCTGCAAATGAATAACATAGTCGGCAATGAGTCGGGAGTTTTTTGACTAGGGCGCGTGCTAGGGCTGGGGCAGGGGCCGGGACCCGGGCCTGGAGAGCACGTCTGTGGGCGCACACTAACATCAAATAAAAGCCAAGCGTTATGTGGCAGCTACATTAAAAAGTTTTTGCTACTTTATGCTGAAGTCACAGTTCGGGATAGGGAGGGAGGCCCAACTCCTGCTCGGTTGGCGGCATCTGCATTTCACGGCTGCCCGTGTCGTTCGTTAACGGCATAAATGCATAATGAGCACATACAGCCACGAGGCATACTTACTATAACTCTCTGACTCTAACTGTGACAGTAACTGCAACTGCAACTGCAACTGCAACTGTGACTGCAACTGTGACTGGATGACAGCAAAAACTAAGGCAAATTAAAAATCACACACGGCTAACTGCGAACAATTGTGAATTGTGATGCTGTCATTTAAATGCGTCTATGTGGAGACTATGTAATACCCTGTTTTGTTTGGGCATAAGCAAGCCATTAACTAATTGCTATTCTAACTAGTTACTTAATGTATTGGAAGAGGTTGTTGACATTAAATGAGGGGAAAATTTAAATAGATGCAAGGAATAGTAAAAGGGAGTTGGTTGAGGTAATAAATTACCAAAAAAAATAATATAGTGAAAAATAATATATAAATAATAATTATGTTTAATAATGTAGTAAATATGATGCAAATGGATGAGAATAATAATATAAATAATGAGAGAGATAATCACAATCAGATATATGATTAGATTGAGCGTGAGAGTAGCCATAAAAATAACAGAAAATGCTAATGTTAATGTAATGTTAATTTTAATGTAATGTAATGTTGATAATGAGAGAGATAATCACAATGAGATATATAATTGCATTAAGACTGATAATAACCATAAAAATAACAGAAAATGTTAATGAAATGTTAATGTTAATTTAATGTTAATCTTAATGTAATGTAATGTTCATTATGAAGATTAAGAATTGTTAAGCAAAATCATAGCAATAATTTACAATTTATCAATAATAAATACGACCTCTCTCTGTTAAATACGTTCACTCATAATTAATTTCGATGGTTACTTAATATTGCGCTATTTGAATGGAACATTTATTTCTGAGATATTCCATGAATCTTTATTTGACGCCCAGTTTGCTTTCTATTTGCCCTGCTCAGCTCGGCTCAGGAATGTCTCGCATTGCTTTAACTGTTCGAGCACCGGGCCCGCCCCACCCGACCCCGAAAGACACTCGACTACCCTCAGCACTTTACATTGTGTGGGGCTTCTTCAGCTTAATTAAGTGTGAGGCATTCGAATGCAAATAACTGAAATAGATGTTTGCATGGGCATTATTTGAAGATGCCCTCAGTCACACATACCTGGAAGTCAAGCCATCCGACCAATCATCCTCGACGAGTATGCGTGCCATGGAGCTGTCGATATCGTTCTCGTGCTTGCCATCGAGCATTTCGCTGCCTGTAAGGGGACAGGAGGAGAGCAGAGGCGGATGAAGATAKAAGATATAAGATATAAGAATAAAGCACATGGAATGTGAATGTCAGTTGCAAATTGAATTGTTTAAATTGCGAGAGGTAAACAGAGGTGGGTGAGGGACTGAAAGTTATTACGCATACGCACCTTTGTACCAGAATATGTTGCCCAGCTCGTGTGGTCCCTGCATTATTTTACAGGTTAAATTAATGTCGCTGCCCGTTTTTACCATCAGATCGCTGGGTCCGTAGATTTCCGCTTTGAGCTCTGCTTAACAATGCCAAAGAGTGTGAAAAGCAGTCGAGGAGAGAGAGAGAGAGAGAGAGAGAGAACAAAAAGTCACTTAAGTTGCCAGGAAACATACATACATAGAAATATATACGAACAAAGCGCTGTTTTTGTAATGTAATAATAATAATAATAATAATAATGTTAATGATAATGCCCCGACTGACTGACTGACTGCTTGCGCGACTGTTCGACTGCTCGCCTGGCTGCCTGGCTGCTTGCTACTTTATTACACAGACGCGTGTCTCTATTATGCTGGCGATAAGCTTTTGTTATGCCATATAAAAGCCAACCACACTCTCATAGATACACACAATGCGCGCACTCATACGCCCCGTGGTACCTGCAGAAACATTGCGCCTGGTCGCTTGGCTCCCCTCGGAATTGTCTAACAAAAAATATAAGAATCAAAGTGTCAACTGTGAAGTGCCTTTTGTTGTTTATAGCCACGCAACTGTCGAAGTCTCTCAATCGGACGGAAGAGAGAAAGAGAGAGAGAGAGAAAAAAAAAACAAACTGGAAATGGCTGGTAAAACTGCCGAATGAAAAATTGTAGATTGAAAATTGAAAATTGAAAAATTGCTGCGGACAGTGAGCCAAATGCGATTTTTGCCGCTTATGAGCGAAGCGTCAGCGCTGCTGCAGAGATGTTTGACAGTTGACGTAATGGAATATGTCCCGAGTGCCGCTGCTTGCATCAGTTCTTTACTTCTGCGTTCGCTTCGTTTTTTATTATTTTGCTGCCTCATTGCCACTAATGCAAACGCTTAGCGTTGCATGCAGCGGAAAGTGGCACACACATGTGTCTGTGTGTGTGTGTGTGTGTGTGTGTGCCTAGTCGCTATGCTTCGTCATGCTTACAGCAGCAGCAGCAGCAGCAACTACATGTGTTTGTATGCTCCACTTTCAACAACAGCAGTCAAACACACACTAGCACACACAGACACACACATACACACACTCTCTCACATACTCTTGTTATTTTACAGCTTGGGTTTTTGCGCCTTGCATCTAAAGAACCGCAAAGCCTGGCGTAAATAAATTGCTGCCAACGACGGCAACTGCAACTGCTGCAGCAACAGCAGCAACAGCAACTGTAACGGTTTTGTACACACTGATACTTTCAACTCTCTTCCCTGTTTGTACCCTGTAGAAATGGCAAATGACTGAGCAGGCTAGACTGACAATGTGTGGAACAGACTGAAGACAGCTGAGAAATGAACATCTGCAGTCAACTCAAGTTGTTTGTCTCTCTAGAGTCTTTGACTTGTTGATCTATGTGTATCGGTTATTTATCTATTTAAGCACTCGATAAGTTCTTGCTCTTCTCTTAATACTCATCTCAAACAGAGAGTAATCTGTAATAGAGAGTCAAGTAGATGAGCATCTGCTGGGAAGTCCATCGAGTGCTGTTTGATTATCTGGAGTCTAGATAACTCTCGGATAATATCTTTGCTGAGTATGTTTATAAATTAAAGTTATCGATAACTTGTTCTTCTTCATTTTATACTAAACTCTATACAATCATTTCATGGTTATTATGTTTTTAAATAGAAAATCAATGCAGAAAACGCTTTTGTTCGCAAAAAGCTGAAGCATGTTTGACTTTAGAGTTTTCTTCTTGTTAATCTTGATATATATCTAACTTGATATCCATCTTCTTAATAATATGTTTGTAATATTTGCCTTAATATTACTATTCTCTTTATTACTATTCTCTTTTATTATTATACCTATTGTGCTTCTCTTTTCTCTTCTTCATTTAATATCCCGAAAGTTCTTCCTTGTTCCTCTCCCAGAAAAACAACTATATCATAACAGGGTATCTTGCATGCATGTCTTGCATGCCAACATTTGACACATCTTTGCGTTATGACTTCCATCTCTCTTCATCCCCATCCTCATTCCCATCCATCGCTTTGCTGCCATTCAATCGAGCAGGAACGAAAAACCATTTGGCAAAAGTGTAACGCAAAAAGTGTTGCATACTTTTGGGCCGTTGATTTGCATGGGCTTAATATGCACTATGTCGAGTGTGTATTCGAGTGTATGTGCAAGTGTGTGTGTGAGTGTGTGTGTGTGCATTCATAAATTGCCCAACGAGGGCTGCCATAAACCTTGCGCCTATGTCTATATCTGAAATTCGATAAGGAAACTTTTTAACGTACTTTTCGAAACAAACTCATTTGCCGAATAAAAGAACTTGGCGCACAATTTTATGGGTCGTTATATACACACACAGATCTATATATTTATATATGTATATGTATATCTCTGCTTGTAACTGATAAAACCATAAGTAAAAGTCTAAACAATTGGCTTAAGTTAAGTAAAAGCACACGTGCTGTTGGTTTTCCCATCTTAACTTGGCGTTTCTTTCGCTCTCTTTTCTTTTTTTTGATGTGAGCTTTGCACATACGTAAAATTGTAAAAAGACGGCGTATAATGCTTTAAGGTCGGCTTTGCAGTTTAAGCGATTTGGCGCTGGTAGCGCTGGCGCTGGGTGTTGGGGCATGTTAATCTAAATTAAATGCCAAGCTCCATAATAATAGAGTGCCGCTGCCGAAAGTGGAAAGAGTGTCAGAAAAAGAAGAATGAATGAAAGAGAAGCAGAAAACAAACCCCAAATGGAATTCGAACATGCCGTGGGCGATTATCTCTGGCTGCTTTACGGTTAGACCCGCACAGGGTGCGACGAGCTGTTTTTGTTGTACCCGTGGCTGTTGTTGTTGTTGCTGTTGTTGTTGCGCACCTGGCACAAGCATTGCGGCGGGCCGAGTGGCAAGTGTCTATGACTTTTGGCGCTGACTTGGCTACAATGCGGTGCGCGCAAACAAAGCAGCTAGCCAAAAATTATTGCCACATATACACAGGCCACGCCCCCACCTGCCCAAACAGCCAGGTGTGTGCACCACATGTGTGTGTGTGGCTGTGTGTATTTTAGCTGAGTTTGCTCTTTCTTTGGCCCACATGAAACTTGCATTGCCTGCTGTCAGCGCGCTGCTGGTTGAACTTTATATATACACATACATAGTTTTATATCTATATATAAATCTTTATATGTGTGCATAATAGAACTTTCGTGTTGGCAAATTGGCTATTTAACAATAATTAGTTGAACCTGTTTGCGGCATTTGACGTTGCTAGCCAGCCGCACTCACCTGCATTATGAATGCCGAGCGTTTAGGCCAGGCTAAAAGGGAGAAGTTGAAGGTAACGAAGTTGTGCCTAATTGACTACTTAATGCACGTTCATGAGCTTTCGATTTGTCACGCCCTAATAGCACTCACTCCGCCTTTTTCTGTCTTTTTCTCCAGAGAGCTAAGGCAGCTCTTTAGCTGTGACAGCTGGTTTATATTCATATGAAGTAGATCAATTAGATATAGGTTAGTATTTTTTTTCCACAGAAGGTTCTTAGAGGTAACAATGAGAGTATGACATATGCACCTGACGTCTATTCCTTTGGAGGATATAGTTCAATAAGGCCAAGCTCACATGCATAAACTTGTTTCTAGTCAAGCTGACTACTTAGCTAGTTGGCTAAAGTATACATGATATACCCCGAAAGTTTCAGACAGCAGCAGAATGACTGGCTCTCCTACTGATGGACAGCAGGGCTAGCCACAAAACCAATATACCTTGCAGGCAGACGTAAGCGCGTATAAAAAGTGGAAAACTTTGCTGGCTATTGGGCCAGCTGTTTGAAGTTTTCATTAGTTGACCCAGGCCCGAAAAGCTGGCCGACAGCCAAAGTGTAAAAGTACCCCAAAAAAAAAAGGAAAGGCAGAAGGAATAGAAAGAGTAAGGTAAAGACAGCTGGCAACAACTGCTGTTAGCCAGGCAAACAGAGCACACACACACACACACAGAGAGACAGCATATAGTTGGCTTGAAATGTGTGCAGCCGCAGTCAAACAAACAGACAGTCAGAGCAGCTTTCTGGCTGTGTGGGGACCCACAGAAGCGAAAAACAAATAACAGAAAAAAAGAGGCTTTGCGAAAATGCATTTTCATTTTTCTTGATTTCGCGCATAAAATGCGCATAAGCCTAGGCCCATAAACATAAACATTTGGAGCAATGAACTTTGCGCATGGCATACTTTTTGGTGAGTGGCGGCAGCAGCTGTAGGGGCGTGGCGGGGTGGGTAGAGGGGCCTGCCACAATGCAGCTTGTTATGCCCTATACAATTGACATTTCAAGGGGTATATCAAGTGAGCTTTTTGGTATGTGGGTCAGCGGGCAGAGTTTGCGAATGTCTTAGCTGACGAGCTAAGAAATGCTTCACATACAATATATAAATCATGGCTGTATTAGTGCGAATGTAAGACTATTTACTGTAAAATGAGCTGAGCTTGCATATATTGCTGTTCAGCTTTAGCCTCCCTTGCATGTATATCTATTACAGGGTATCTCATACTCTGTCCCTTCCGTCTTATATGTAAATTCCCTTAACCCAGCTCGGGGTCTGCTGCTGTTGTAAAAATTTATTGCGCCGCATATGTTGATGTATGTTTGCACACATGTACAACATATACGAGTATTTATTGCCTCGTTCTCGTTTCTCGCTGCGCTAAGTGACATACAATTTAACAGCGTATACGACTGTGTGTGTGTGTTTGTGTGTTCTGGTAATTTTTTCCAGCTATTTTCCAGCTGGTTTTCGGCTATTTTAAATGCTGCTCCTAGCCAGCTTTAAAGTAAATGCGTTTGGCTATTAATCTAACTCGAAACGCAAATTGCTTGGAATTAATTGTCAAATCAAATAAATAAATTCAATTTGTAAAAGTCAGCGTCACAGACACACACACCCACACACACACACATACATGCACAATTGATTGAAATATTCTGTTGAATTTGGCTATGGCTGTCAAAACGTGGAGTCCAACAATGGCAGCAAAATGAAATGCCAAAACATCATCATCATGGCCCCAGACACATTTCACTCTCACTCTCTCTCTCACACACCCATTCCCCC